CTAGTCCCTATTACTTGGTGGCGTGCAGTAATGAGCCACATAACCTAGTCCCTATGACTTGGTGGCGTGCAGTAATGAGCCACATAACCTAGTCCCTATGACTTGGTGGCGTGCAGTAATGAGCCACATAACCTAGTCCCTATGACTTGGTGGCGTGCAGTAATGAGCCACATAACCTAGTCCCTATGACTTGGTGGCGTGCAGTAATGAGCCACATAACCTAGTCCCTATGACTTGGTGGCGTGCAGTAATGAGCCACATAACCTAGTCCCTATGACTTGGTGGCGTGCAGTAATGAGCCACATAACCTAGTCCCTATGACTTGGTGGCGTGCAGTAATGAGCCACATAACCTAGTCCCTATGACTTGGTGGCGTGCAGTAATGAGCCACATAACCTAGTCCCTATGACTTGGTGGCGTGCAGTAATGAGCCACATAACCTAGTCCCTATGACTTGGTGGCGTGCAGTAATGAGCCACATAACCTAGTCCCTATGACTTGGTGGCGTGCAGTAATGAGCCACATAACCTAGTCCCTATGACTTGGTGGCGTGCAGTAATGAGCCACATAACCTAGTCCCTATGACTTGGTGGCGTGCAGTAATGAGCCACATAACCTAGTCCCTATGACTTGGTGGCGTGCAGTAATGAGCCACATAACCTAGTCCCTATGACTTGGTGGCGTGCAGTAATGAGCCACATAACCTAGTCCCTATGACTTGGTGGCGTGCAGTAATGAGCCACATAACCTAGTCCCTATGACTTGGTGGCGTGCAGTAATGAGCCACATAACCTAGTCCCTATGACTTGGTGGCGTGCAGTAATGAGCCACATAACCTAGTCCCTATGACTTGGTGGCGTGCAGTAATGAGCCACATAACCTAGTCCCTATGACTTGGTGGCGTGCAGTAATGAGCCACATAACCTAGTCCCTATGACTTGGTGGCGTGCAGTAATGAGCCACATAACCTAGTCTCTATTTTAACCTAAAAACTCCCCCTTCGGGGATGCTGGTAAAACGTGACAATCCCCCCTCCACCCCTAGAATAGCACCTACCTAAATAAGAGCCGGATGTAACGATTAATTGAGTGATAGTTAGTTAGCTGAGTTATCATCATTGCACTCCGGACATGTCCATAGGTGCTCAGATCCTCCCCTCAGTATGCACCCTAACGTCCGATCGCTAATAGTACCAGTTCTATGTTGATTAACAAGTCTTCTGGTGTTTGGTGTGCGTCTCGTTTTTTGCTATGCCTATCTTAATTCCCAAGTCTGCCATTCTGGCGAGTGTTGTGGATTTACTGCCCCCAAAATCCTCTATTTACTGCCCCCAAAATCCTCTATAGGACAGAGAAATTAGCTCCAGATGTGCCAAAGCTAATCAAGTAATAGGGCAACTGTCTCCCCTGTTAACACAAGCAGATACCTCGGATTACTAAAGTGAATCTTATCAGAACTATTTTTTGGCCAACACTATGCTATCAATGCCAAATGTGGACACTTACATCCTCCAATGAACGTAAATTTGTGACAACAGAGATGAAATACCTTAGAAGAGCTGCAGGAGTTTCAAGAAAAGACAGAATACGAAATCATGAAATCAGACGAATGCTAGGAATAAAGCCAGTCTTACAGGTTTTACAGGTCATCAAAGAACAACAAATGAAGTGGTCTGGACACCTAACAAGAATGCCCTGGTTCTATCTGCCACAGCGAGCCACACTAAAACGTTACAACGGGTATAGAGCGAGTGGAAGACCCCGGAAAATATGGAGTGATGGCATAAAGAACAGCCTTACAGAAATGAACATCAGTCTTAATAGTTCTCTTGATAGAGCTCATCAACATAAATTACATCTCCCCCTGACACTTCGATGAGGTACAAGGTGGAAGAGAAGAAGAAGAAGAAGAAAGTCCTCTATCCTTCCCATTTCTCTGAGGGCATAAATAATATCAGCATGATCCATAGGCTGACTGTCGGTAGTGATATCGGATCCAGTCAATCTATCAGCTCTTTTATTTCCATCGACGCCTGCGTATCCCGGAACAAAAACAAAGGTGACTCCAAGTACAGTGGGCTTCTGTAATGATTCAAGCCATTGTCTTCGCACCGAACCTGCGGTGTGAATGCCCTTGTTCTGTCCCTCTTTTTCTTGAGGACCGACCATGATACCACGTGACTGTCCTAGATGGGTCCAGTGAATAAGGGGTGCCTGTGGATGATGGCACCTTCCTCGAGCCTTACACATTTTATAAGCAAAGATAGAGTGGGGGGGGGGGGGGGGGGGGGAGGGGGGGTTAACTAAAATGTGAATGGGTTAACGATAATTGTAGGGGGCTAAAAGACCCTTTTAACAATGTATACAAAATCTTTTTACAAAGTATATGTTTCATACATTTCACACTATTTTCAAGTATGTTATTATATTTATTTGTCATTGTCACGAAACGATCTCAGTGGTTCCAGAAGTTAAGTATCTCCTGTCCAGACTGTAGAGGCGAGCAAAAGGGGAACTTAGTATCACACCTGCCGCAAGAAGTGATATCTATGCCCTCAGACTATTCCTATATTTTTTAAAAATGTTATGATGAGACAGAGCTATCAGCTTATGTAATCTCATTGTCTAAATAAGAACTGTCTTCTTCTTCTTCTTCTTCTTTTTCTTCCTTAGAATTCCGAGCCCTTGAGGTTCATTGCTGCAGATATCACCCGCCTCGATTCATCTCTCTGGTTGGCCTTCTCTTTCCGGTTCGTGACACCAAGTGTTTGCAGGTCTGTCTGGACATAATCTCTCCGTATCCTTCTTGGTCTGCCTCGTGGTCTACAACCATTCATCTCCCTTGTGTATACAGTTTTTACGTCTCTGTCATCTGACATTCTTTTAATATGCCCCAACCATTCCAGTCTATTAGCTCTCATGATGCCAGTGATCAGGGGTGATTTAAACAGATTATGAATTTCGTTGTTGCTTCTCACTCTCCATTCCCAGCAGTTTGCATCTTTGATGTGTCTTGAGATTCGTCGTAAGAGTCTTGTTTTAGAAAACCTGTAATAAGGCTTCATCTCTTTCAGTTGTGCTCCAAGTTTCAGAGCCATATAAAACGACAGGTCTTAGCAACGTTTTATACATTTTGATCTTGGTGTTGCGAAACAGACACTTTGACTTTAACAGATGTTGAAGGGCATAGGATACTTTATTTCCGGATTGTATTCTAGATAGTATTTCTTCTCTCGGCATGTTGGAGCACTTGAAGTTTGCACCCAAGTACTTATATGTTTCCGTTCGATTTATTTTCATACTATCCACTTGTATGTGGCCGGAGTTTTTATCTTTTTTTTTTCCCTGCTGTTTTATTGATGCCTCTGTACCACCAGTTATCTATTCTTAATCCTTAGGTCAAAAGTAACTATCAATTTTTGAAAAGTATTAGTTGGGCGAAAGTTTGGCCCATTCCTCGCCGTGCACCATCTTGTCATTTTCACAAACATGTCTGTCGTATCTTCTAAGTGTACCATCACATTATGCAGATTGTTAAATATAACAAACAAATAAAAATGTACTAATCGACACTCACAAAAAGGAGAAGAAAAATAGGATACACTCATCGTCGATCAGAGGTCCTTTACAGAACGTCGCTCTCTTAACGGCACGCCTAAAAGTCTGTCTTTCTCTAGCCAATTCTCCAGTCCTGTCATATTCCGCCTCAGTATGGGACTCAATTTCTTTCTTTGAAAAAAAAAAAAAAAAAAAGCCCCAACCCGGCTGTCAGCGGGGTCCTTAATGAACGGTTTAATGGGGTTCCTCCGACTCGTGCCTGGAGATGCTTATCCAAATGGTGGCACTTTGTGTAACCCGGCGTTTATCTCTCGTTGAGCGGTCCTGGTCAGGTTGAACGTCCCTCACTCACTCCAGTCCTGTGTGCTTTCATAGCTAGTGCATCTTCGATGTTCTGTATCGACGTTGCGAAGGTCGGTATCTGCCTCGTTTTCCAACAACTGCACCCTCCATCACTGTTCTCTTTGCACCATCATGAAGCTTAACATGTGCAAAATACCTCAGCTTTCGGGAGACGATACTGTTTACGTGCCAGTTCTCCTTGATGCTCAGGTCATGAAGGATGTCGACGTTTTTCTTTTTCTTGGTCCACGGTATTCTAAGAACATCTTCTGTAACGTTCGAGTTCAAAAGCTCTAATTTTTCTCTCTCTCTTCCTTATAAACTGAGTGAGAGTCCACGACTCTCATCCATGAGCTGACACGGGAAAATGCAGTCTAAAAAAATTCAACTTCAAATTCTTTGCAGGTTCCTTATCATATGTCCTTCTTGCGGCTTAGACTGCATTGCTATAGCAAGCCTTTTTTCTAATGTCTTTTGTCCGGTCGCCATTGTTGTTCATTATTGAGCCTACATTTGGGACACTTCCAGTCTCTTCGTTTTAATACGTTGTTGGTTTGATGTATTCATTATGGACATTATTTCGTCTTTTTTTTCAGATTAAGATATATATATATATATATATATATTCCAAAGTGCCTTTCGACAGTCAAAATTAATTTTTCGAACCTTGCACGCTGTTGGAAAAACGAATTATAATCTGCATATCTGAGTTATGAGTTAGATCTGTCTTTAATTTTGAATGGATGGAATCTGCAACACGAAGGTATATTTACTAGACATCAAAAGTTATATAATATCAATGTAAAAAAAAAAAAAAACTAACTCACCAACATACAGTTAACCGCAACGAGCAATGATGTTTCAGAATAAATGCTGAACATTTAAACTGTTAAAAGTAAATAACAGAGATCCGGTGAGCATTATATACGAAGCACACATCCACTGTTTAAACTTCTACCTCAACACATACAAGAGGAAAAGAGCTTTGATGATGATTATGATTATGATGATGATGATGATGATGATGATAAGCATGCGTGCGCACATTACATTTTCCTTAGGCTGTAAAATTGTAAAGTATCTGGCAACAAATTAAAGAAAATGGCAGAGCTGCTGACTAACGAAGAACCAAACAAAAAATTCTTTTACCATGAACATGCAGCGAAGCTGTTAAAATGTTTGAACGAAACCAGGGAGCGACCAAATCTTTGTGATGCCACAGTTACTATCGGAGGCAGTCGAATCCCAGTTCAGAAAAACGTTCTGTCAGCAGCTAGTCATTATTTTCGGTAACATTCTTCTTTTCTTTCTGCTCTTCTCTCAGTCTTGGGTCGGTCTCCGACTTCTAATTTCTAAATTTTCTGTTTACTAGTTTACTTTACTTTACTATCTTACTTTCTAGCTAATCCGAACCTAATCTACTTCTGATTCAGTCATTGTATGCGTTATTTGTAATGAATTATTTTGGTATAATTATAATGAGGAAAAGAGTACTTCCACTAAAGCATACTCCTCGTTCAAGTTACGTTGACGCCCACACTGTGCGAAAATAAAATGAAATGTTATGAAACTTAGTTCTAAGCTCTGCGGCGTGACCAGTTGATCGGGTCGACTCCCATTACCGAGAACAGACAAAACAAATTAATGATCAGACTTGGTCTTCTATCGCATGTTCGTTTCACAACTGCCCCCTTTCAGATCATAAGTTCAATTTTTACGGAGATCCCTGGGGATCATTGCTGGAACTAACGAGTTCATGCTCTGTGCAGATGGCTAGCCGTTCTGTTGAGAGAAACCAAGCAAAATGGGATAAAACCCGGTGCAATGAAGTTGATCCTAGTGACTAACTTTTTTAAAAAAATGTCATTATTTATGAGTGTTGAGCTAAGAAGTGATATCACAGCACTCTGGACATTCTCATAAGGACTCCATCCTCATCTTTAGCAGCCAGAAAAGAGACCCAAGTCTCGATTCTGATGATGCCAGGAGCAATTTTAATATATGCCTATCTTGCCTTTCCTTAGTGTAGAGTGTCAACCAGATTGCCTGGTTACTGCCAGCTGTACCATTCTCTTTAGACCGTAATGATCTATTTGTGCCTCCATACACTTGCTGCCAAAGGGCCTTGACCATACCTAGCTTGTCATGCATAAAGTCACCACCCATAGGGCAGAACCAGCCAGTCTGTCTGCCTTTTCATTTCCCAACACTACTGCAGAACCCAGTGAAAATATCCAAAGAACACTAATTACCTGGTGCCACTCTATACAGAGCACGCCTGTTTCCCCCTTTCTCAACATACTTTATGGGTCAGTTACAATCACAACATATGTGTGCAGCTGGTTCTCAAGGTGTATGTGAAAATATTAACACAAGCATTCCTTTGACAATTGCAGAGCCCTGTTTGATTATGATGATCACATTGCCAACAGCACAGAGGAGAGGTCAGAACCTTCAGTCTCAGATGTTCATTTAGACCACATGGGTATAGAAGAAAGCACATTCCGCAGCATTCTGGACTTTATATATACTTCAGAAGTGAAACTAACTCCTAACAATATCCAGGATATGTTACAGGTTTCATTGTGTGTTATTCTATTGTTATTCGTTTCCTCCAGTGCTTTATGTGGAGATTTCTATTAGACGTCTTGTCCATATTAGTTTAATGATTTCTGTGAAAATAAAAGAGTGCAGTGGTGCCTCACTAGATTGTTTTTACCTAGTACTTAATTTTTTCAGGTCACCTTTATTGAACATTGCTTTACCATAGGTTACATTTATTGGACACAACTATGCTGTTGGTCGCATTTATTAAACACATCTATACTGTCGGTCGCATTTATTGGACACATCTGTACTATCTGTCACATTTATTGGACATAACTGTACTGTTGGTCATATTTATTGGACACAACTGTACTGTTGGTCATATTTATTGCACACATCTGTACTATCTGTCACATTTATTGGACATAACTGTACGGTTGGTCACATTTATTGGACACAACTATACTGTAGGTCGCATTTATTGGACACATCTGTACTATCTGTCACATTTATTGGACATAACTGTACTGTTGGTCACATTGATTGGACACAGCTGTACTGTCTGTCATATTCATTGGACATTACTATACTGTTGATCACATTTATTGGACATTACTATTCTGTTAGTAACATGTATTGGACATAACTATACTGTTGGTAAAATTTATTGGACATAACTATACTGTTGGTCACATGTATCGGACATAACAATACTGTTGGTCACATGTATTGGACATAACTATACTGTTAATCTCATTTATTGGACATAACTATACTGTTGGTCACATTTATTGGACATAACTTTACTGTTAGTCACATGTATTGGACATAACTATACTGTTAATCTCATTTATTGGACATAACTATACTGTAGGTTTTATTTATTGTACCTTATAGTTCTGTACATTACATAGAGAGGCATGATATATAGATTTACACAAGCACAGACAATCACAATTGAATGTATTTTGTACTCTTTTGTAGTGTGCACTTTGTTGATACTAATATATATATATATATGGATCCTAATAGGCTGCTGATCAGCTGCTTCTGTCAGACTTGAAGGACATCTGCTGTGAGTATTTGGACACATGCATCAACGCTCAAAACTGCATTGGGATTTTAGATTTTACTTCTCAGTTGTCTTGTGCCTGGTGGCACTTGAAAGTTTCTCAATTTGTGGATGCACACTTCAGGTAATTTGTGGCGTGTACATTACATTTCTTTCAGTACTTTGTCAATATCTATTTTGTTTTAATCATGATGACTTTGATAACAAATGTTGGTTAATAAAGGGACTTTGTGGTAGTAGTAATGATAATGAATGATATTGTATTCCTTTCCTGGCAATGAGGTAATTAGACAAGAAGAAACAATTATTAATTGTGTGAAAAGATTTTTCTACAAACTGCAATTGGTTTTTAAATATTTTCCCACCATATGAAAAAACATTTGTTATAAAATAATAACAAGCATAGAGCAGTACTTGTTTAATGGCGGGAATAGAAGTATGCTTCAGTTTTGAAGCAGTCAAATTGGACAGTAATGGTAAAGTTCCAGGGGAGATACTGCCATTGAATGTGAAGTGTCAGGCCTTCACATTGGGAAAGCTTTTTAAAGGGAGATGGCAGTTCTTTTCCTACTCAGATTGTCTTCCCACAGTTTCCACACAATTGTCTAGTATCCATGTTTATGAGGCATGGTCATTCCCAGGTCGTTCTCTGTATCTATTTCATACAGCATTATCAGTTTGATATTAAATAAAAGGTTAAAGTCGAGAGGATCAACTTCATTGGACTGGGTTTCATTCCATACAGCTTGGTCTCTCTCCGCAGAACGGCTAGCCGCCTGCTGAGAGCTCCGCACAGGGCACGAAGTCCATAGCTCTAGGAGCGATCCTCCAGGGATCTCCGTAAAAACTGCACTCGTGAACTGAAGGGCGCAGCCGTGAAATGAACCCATAACCTTCAGAGCAAGAGGCAAATGGCTTGACCACTTCGCTACAGTGACCCCCTGATATTAAATATTCTAGGTTATCTTTTTCTAATGTATGATTAAAAAAATATGAATGGTTTGTGCAGCCTTTTAGCTACTCAGTATATGTTTATTTGACAATTATTCTTGTTTCCAGGGAAGTCACCCAGTATGATGAATTCCTGCGTCTTGATGCAGGCAGGGTGGAGAAACTTATGTCCAGAACAACAGTTGAAGTCAAGAACGAAGATGATATACTGGATATCATTCTTCATTGGTATCGTTTTGACCCAGCCAGCCGTAAGAACCAGGCAATGGACTTGATGAGACGGGTCTTGTTTGTCCATCAGTTGAGCAGTAATGCCCAGACAAGGCTGACAGAGCTGTGCGGTGTGGATGCACAAGATTTCAGTGACCTGTACGCTGAACTTCAGGACAAGCAGACTCTTGCGACAAGTGTACACAGGGGCTTCACACAAGTTATTGTGGCATGTGGGGGAGAAGGAGCTTGCAGGTGAAAGCATTGTGCACACTTTTATTTTGTGTATAATTACATTTCCTAAAAAAATACATTTCCTAATGGCTTGCAGGACACTTTTCACGCCTTAGGTCATCAAGCATATGATGTTAGACCTATACTTTTCTAACCTAATCGTTCCTGTGTGGGTTCCGGGGCCATGTTATAAGGAAAAGAATAGACCCACTGCCAACCCAAAAGCATGTCGTAAGAGTCGACTAACTGGAAGCTTTCTTCGAAGTCGGAGTGCATCTGCCTGAGAGGCAGTAATAGAGAGGCAATAGTATAAATAGCTGTTGACAGTTTCACATGGGCCAGTTTGTAAAGAAATTGAGTTGGGTAAGAATTTGAGTTGGGTTAAGAACTGACATGACGGCACTCAGGACATTACATAAGTGCTCTGCCCCCGTCTTCAGCAGCCAGTGCAGAGTTCCTGTGCTGATGGAATCAGTAGCAGCCTGATTGTATGCCCATCTTGCCTTTTCCCTTTCCCCTAGGTGTTGAGTGTTGGCCAGATCCCTGGGTGAGTCCTCTCTGGACCCTTCTCTTCAAACCGCGATGATCTGTTTGCGCTTCCGCACTGCTCACTTACTCCCAGAAGCATTAACTATATAAATAACTTGAAGTACATCAGTTTATCATCAGATGGTGCAGAACCAGCCAGTCTGCCTCTTTGTTTCCCAACACACATGTAAAGAAATAACTACTGGTGTCAATTTTTTAAATCTTGCAGGGACAAAGATGAAGTGGAAGTCAAGGATTATGTCAGATTTGTGGTCCCTGTAAAGTCAAAACATTCAATCAACAACAATCTCTGGGTGGATTTGGCTCCTATGTCAGTACCACGCACAGGACATGCATTAGTAGAAGTTGGTAAGACCAGCACATTTGTTGTTATGGTTCCAGTTGTTTAAATCAACGCTAGATCTCTTTCATGCAGAGTTTTATTATGTGTGCAGATTTTGATTAGTTGACCTCGGCTACCAGGCAATAAAGTGTGATGTTGACCACATCTCTCGATGAGGTATGATTCATCTCTTAAAAAATGTGGTTCTAGCACAGTATGCCACTTGTGCTTATGCTATAAAAGGGTCTTTTTGTAAAAAAATAAATTATCACTGTACGATGAGGAAGCCGCAGTAGCCTAGTGGCTAGACACTCACGTGCTAGCTCAAAGGTTTTGGGTTCCAATTAGCATTGAGTTTTGATTTGCTGAAAAAAAAAGAAAAGAAAAAAAGAAAAAAAAACCAGGTTGCCATCGGTTCCCAAGCCGACCACGCCTAAAATAAGTGCTTGGGAGGTAAAAGCTACCGGCGTGATGTTGTCCACATCGCCCATTGAGTGCTGATTGGTTTATAGAAAAATACAAGTCAAAAATCTATGCCCCATGTGAAAGAAAAAAAAATATTCCTTTACAGTATGATACCCAGCTTTTCTGAAACAAAACTGATATATTCACTTCATCTTTTTCTTCTATGTATTTACTAGCTGTAAACTCCAGCAGAAAGCTCTAGGTGCTCATCCACCTCTGGTCTTTAGTTTTGTTCCAGAGCCTTAGTGCCGCATGCAGTTCTGTTTTATAGATCTGGCTAATTTGTGTGCAGACTTGTGGTTGCTTGCCTCTCAGGCAGATGTGCTCCGACTGATGTCCCCAGTTAGTTGACTCTAGTGACATGCTTGTGGGGAGAAAGTGGGTCTATTCTTGTTCTCCCCTACAATGGGGCCCTGGAACCCACACGGGGGATTCACTCCATAAGATTCGGAGCTGCGGTAGCGCACTGGCTAGGTGCATGTCCAGCATGTCTGCCGACCTTAAAGTCATAGGTTCGTATCCATATCGGGGCGAAGTTTTTAAAATTGATTTTGGCTGCCATGTTTACCCAGCCTAAAATTAGTTACAGGACATGTCCTGTGAAGGAAAAGCGGCTGGAATGATGTTGATCACATCACCTTTGCATGCTCATTGATCTACACAAGTATGAGACTAACACTATGTTTCATTATCCTAGTACCATGTAAAGAGTCTTTTATTTTTGGTTTTACTTCACATAATAAGTTGTTGATAATTTGAAGCATTGTTGCAATATGTTCTAGAAAAAGGGTTTTAACTCTTTCAGGCCCATGAAATTTGACAGTCTTGGCCCACAGTAATTTCCCTTTACACAAATCGCAAAAGGGGGAGGGGGTGGTGTACAAGAAAGGCAATAGAGAATGTAATATACTTCTAATCCCTATAAAAGTATATATTTTTTCAAAGAAACAAATGTACATTTTGAATCTGATGATAAGTGTTAGTTTAATTTTGTTATAGCTAGTAGGAAAAAATAATTCAGCAGGTGTTAATTTCACAACAACATTTTACAAATTCTTCACTTACCATGGCTTTGCTTCCACAAGAGTAGTAAATATCCAAATTTGAGAACAAAAACTTCAAAGTTTGTTCAATTTCCTACCAAATTCTAAAGTTATGATACGTTGCTAGGTTAGTTTAGCACTCAAGGGCTCTTAGTTCTCACAGAGTGCTGAGCAAAATTTCAGAAAAAAATGGCAGAAAAATGAGCCAATTCACAGCACTATTTACTATTTACTTTGTACAGTTATATACAGAATGTAGCTGCAATGATTTCAATGTAGCTTAGCCATAGTATAGTAGTGTCTCTTTGTTTGGAGCACTTTCCTTCTCTTACACCATAAATACGGTGGCAATGAAACATTGTCTGTGTAAACTCATCAGAATCACTAGATTCATAACAGCTGATCGCTCAGCTTCGCTTAATAAAAATGCACCGTCCAAATTGCTTTCTGAAAAATCTTAATTTTCATTATCATTATCCGAATTAAAATCATCTGACTCAAACAATTTCAGAGCTTCGGCCGCAGAAAGACGCATTCTGCGACCTATACTTGTGATTGAAACATTAGTTTTCATGGCACTCAAAAACAAACTTAGGAAAACGCACTGTTGAAAAAAATTTTGCTCTTTATCCGTTCAAATTTAACACATGTGACTAAGATAATGAATGAAACTAAAAGGATTTCGGCAAAGTGACTTTTCCCTGAATAATTAAATCTTACCTCCAAACATTCGAAACAAGTACACAGCCGTATGCGAAGCAAAATGTACGGGACACACGATTGACGATGGCAGCGTTGTTTGGGCAAAACTGAACTTCTCAAACAACGCTCACACCGTTGCTTGGGCCTCAAAGAGTTGAAGAAATCTTCACAGTAACTGCTGGTTGTTTGAGAGTTAAGCCTCCTGTAGGTGCAGAATTGGTTGTCATTCTGGTTTATTCAGCATTTGAGTTAAGCCAGCTTTGCAGTTCCTCTGATTTTTCTTTTTCTTTCATTTAGATATTTGTTGGCAGGTCAGTTACTTTCTGAATTGATTCAATTTCTTCTTCCTCCTCCTCTGCCTTACCTTTTTTTTTTTTAATGCTGTAGTTGGCACATCAGATTTCACCAGTCTTCTGATAATTTGCTATATACAACATGCTAGTTGGGGGGGGGGGGGGGGGAGGAATATGCGAGCCTGTTCATCCCAAATAAAGCCCCGTAACCCACACACAAAAATTGATGCTATTTAATCTGTGTACGTAAGTGTTTTAGTGATTATTATCTAAATACATTTATGTAATTTTTCAGGTGGATACATGTACGTAGCTGGAGGCAGAGACAGCAATTGTAGGATACTAAACAGCTGTGAAAAATATGATCCCTTCAAAAACTGTTGGACACAGGTTGCTCCTATGAATCACGCCCGTGTTGGGTTTGGGTTTGTAGCCATTGAGAACCATATATATGCCATCGGTGGTAGCAATGACATGACAGACCCACTTTTATCCATGGAAGTCTACGATGTTTTCACGAACAAGTGGAAGGCCTTGCCTGATATGAACATGAAAAGGGCTTGGGCATGCTACGCTGCAGCAGGGCCGAAAATATTTGTCCTCGGGGGTGGAATCATCGGTAAATTCTATGAATCGGTGGAAGTATTTGACACACGTTCACTGACATGGTATGTGGTCTCTCCAATGAGGGAGAGGAGATGTGATGCTCGTGCTGTTGCTGTTGGAAATGATATTTATGTTTTTGGAGGATTTCGTCGCATTGAGTGCCCTAGTGCTGCACATACAGGTCACAGTTTGAAGCTTTGCGGAACAGAATTTTATTCCGAGAAAAATGATTACTGGATGCCAGTCCAGATGAGGTCTGGTGCTCACGGCATGTGTACTGTAGGGGAAAACTCACACATTGCCGGAGTTCTGTTTGACGGAGAGGACATTCTGGTGGTTGGGGAGCTTGATATGGGCAGAGAGGTTCAAACAGTTCGCTCCTTTAACAGACACACCAACACATGGGAGTGCTTGATTATTCACAAGCCGGACCAACAGACACGCTACCAGTGTTGCTTGTTGCCTCTGCCCAAAAGTCTTCTGTATAAACTGATGCAGGACCAGGGAAAGATTCACAGCATTAATGATGATAGTGTTGCCGAAGGGGTTATGGAATGAAGGCACATTTCAAGAGTGGACAGAAATATGCACTTGTAGTGCTGATTTGTAACAACATGGTAAATAAATTGACATGTATTCATTTTCACAGTGATCATGCATTGAGGTACACTTGTTTCCTCAGTGACGTACTGTTGTCATTTGGAGGTGACAGGTTAAATTCCCTATATAGTAATTGAAGTTTTCAACTTTCATGTTTTCTAGAGTCCCATCTCTTTGTTTGCATCTATGAGTTCTAACCAATACCCAGCAGTTAGTCTGTCGTATTGTTTTTATGGCCTCAAGAGTTCCCCAGACAATTATTTATGTATGTTTTGTAACAGAATGTAAACAATCAATTTACATTTCTTATCCTGTGGAGATGTCCATGAAAACATGGATTTCTTTAATCTCATCTCATTTTGGACTTTGCAGTGTCGGGGTGAAGAATAAACAGCTAGGTTCTTGCTCGTTTGTATGCTTTGTCTATGGGGATTCTCACAGACTCTAGTATGTCTCTTGTCTTTTGTTTGCATGGTCTGCCTCTCTTTCAGATCCCACTGGGTGTCTTCATTGCTCCTTGTGTTGTACTGTTTTTTTTTTTTAAATATTGTCATTTTCAAATCCTTTACTATTTCGTCAAATGCTGATTTAAAAAAAAAAAAATGACATCCAGTCCAAACAAACAAATCAATCCTCCATAATCCCTCCTTGTATGAAAAGACTGGAGCATCTGTGTGTGTATTCTATAGCCTTCTGATATAAGGCCACATCAAACTGTTGAGATTCTTCTTCTGAGAAAGTAACAAGATGATCACAGCGCAGTGAGTTCTTGGATGTGACTGTTCCGTGTACTTCTACTAGGCCAGATTCAGAGGATCTTGCATTTGGATTTTGACATCTTGATTATCGCTTGCGATCAAAGTGAAAAATTGGCCAGCACTGTCGACATTTTTAGCAAAACCAAGTAGGCAAACTTGTCTTCCATGAAAATTAGGCAAAAGAGAGGCATTAACACGCGGCTTAGTCTGCTCGTTAAGGTGGCAGCCAAATGCAAGAACATTCCTTTAGAACATTAAAAAAAAACGTTATTACCCCATTAGAATTTCAAAAAATATCCATTAAAAAAGCAACTATTTTTTTTATAAAAGTCACTAATAAATTTGTGAAAAATGTATTTACTGCATTTTAAAATTGTTTTTCAACATTTATAAAGATATGTGAAAGGAATAACCAATCAGTATCAACAGGGTGAAGCATTAAATGCATCCCCTAGGGCCTAAAAACACACATGTATTGGATAACTCATGCTGTGACCCCGTGACCTCTATCAGAAGGCTTAACAAATAAAATTTGATGTCAACCGCCCTATCATAATTTTTTTAGCCCGCCCAGATTTGCATTCTGTAAGATTAACATTTCAAGAATGAGATAGAGACAGCTACAACTCCTGGACACCCCATTCAGCCATATGTCTGTATAGCACAGTTATATCAGGGCGCAACAAAAATTGTTACAAAATTAACCAAGCAGTTCAGTATGGATGGGTCTATACGTCTTTAGACACAAAAACAGCCTTTTTCATTGCCAGTATATTTGTTCTACTTAGCTCTATATATGATTGTCAGTGTGCTTTTCAATACAAGCCTGCAAATACCTCACATTTGCTACCTTATTTATACACACTGGGTTGTTGAGTTTGGTAATTATTGTTGTTGTGGTAATTATTGTTGGTGTTTAGAGTTCAGAAGTTCAGTTGTAAATTTGAGAAGTAACTTTGTTTCCTCGGTTCTCATCTGTCTTGTGTTTGTGTTCTGGGCCCCATTTTAGGAGGGGGGGGGGGGGACAAAGAACAGACCCACTGCATGTCGTTAAAGAAGAAAAGAGTTTGCTGAAATTGGGATGTATTGGGCTGAAAGGTGCATATATCCCAGCCTAGTAGGAAACCACAACAGTCACAGTTTCTTTAATGGATCAGCACTGAAGAAGAAGAATAAGATTCTCATTTTGGAGAACAAATCCTCCCCATATGGGTTCCAGGGACCGCTTGTGGGGAAAACACGAACAGACCCACTGCCTCCCCAAAAAGAATTTTGTATGAATTTTGAATTGGGGGCATACCTCGAAGTAAGAGTACATTTGGATGAAAGGCAAGGAACCAACAGTCTGCATACAGATAAGTCAGATCTGTAAAACACGTGCTCACAGCTTTGAGGTTCTGGAACAAGACTAAAGTCTGGAGGTGGACGAAGAACCAGAAATAACTGCCTGAGTTTACAACTTGTAACCATGAAGAAGAAGAAGAAAGTGAACAGAAATTAGCATTAATCAGACTGGGAGATGAATACACCTGCAAGAAACAAGTGCATATATTTGTGTAAGCATTTATATTATGCAGTTTACTTCATAGCTATTTATTTGCAAACAGAAGTTGGTCAACAAAATAATCATGCTGAGCAGAAATAAAAAAATTGTATTAATGCTGTGAGTCCCAAGGAAGGCATCATAGGTTCCTACCTAGAAGCGCAGTGAATGAATGATGTGCCGATTTTAAGTCTCTCTTTACTACCCCTTGGGCCTGTGATGCTAAACCCTCTGGGACTCAAACGTTTTGCATGAAATGAGGTGAAATGGATACATTAATAAAGTGCAAAGGTCTCAGGAGGTCAGAGAAATGAAGAATGTGAAATCTGTGTTATTGTATGATTGGTCAAATCTTGTGTATGTTGTTCACAAAATAACCATACACAGCTAGAGCATATAATCAAATGGTGACATGAAGCAATGATCACATTTAAAGTTAGAACAAATTCAGAACAAAACAGCCATTCTAGTTATTTGACTGATATGGCAGAGTGTACAGAGAATACAAAGGGAGCATTTTTTATTTGCCCGTTTTACTGTGTCTGTTATGCCAGCACTGCCGTTAAAAACATATCGAATGGGTTGGTTATAAAGCTGTTGTAAACAATAAAAAATGGATCACATTCTCATAAATGTTACGTCCCCTTCTTCAGCAGCCAGTGCAGTTAAAATACTGTTGGTGCCTGTAATAGTATTTCTTGTAAAAGTAGTGAACCTTTTTCCACGTCTTCAGGTTATTTGGCATATAGTGCTAGACCTTGAGTTGTTAAGAATTGACATCACAGCACTCTGGGCATTCCCATGCATGCTCCATCCTCATCTTCAGCAGCCAGCTCAGAGTTCCAATACTGATGGTACCAGTCACAATCTGGTTAAATATCCGTCTTGCCTTTTCTCTGAGTGTAGTTAGCCGGCCAGACCCTCTGGTTACACCCAGGTGCCTCATTCTCTCCAGACCATCTTCTTTCTCTACTGATTCTGTTGCTTGTTCCCAAAAGACCTTGACCGCATCTGCCTTGTCATGTATCAATTCACCACCCAGTGATGAGATCCAGCCAATCTGTCCGCCTGTTCATTACCCACCACGCCGGCATGGCCTGGAGAAAAGATCCAAAGTATGCTCACGACGCGTGACCTTACAAGTGAAGCTTGCCATTCTGCTCGAAGCATCCCTGTCTTCACCTTTTTCAGCATACTTTCAATCTGTTACAATTATGACATGTGCATGCATCTTGTTCTCTAGCCACCGGAGAGCTTGACCTGTATTTTATAGACCAGTCTGCCCTCAGTGGGTGATGTGAACATCACACCAGCTGCCTCTGTTTCCCAGGACTTTACCTGGTACCCACTCAAGGCTGGGTCCACCTGGAAACCAAGGTCAGATTTGAACCCACAACCTTTGAATCTGCAGGCAAGCATCTGGCTGCTACACTATGGCGGCTCCCAGTGGTATCTTGAGAAAACAACAATATTAAATTTGCTGGAGGGTACATTTATACGATGGGAAGGTAGTACTTATAACTGATGTTTTCAAATGTTTGTTATGTAAGGCCAGCATTTCATACTTTAACAAGTTTTGTTTTATTTGGTGTGTTTATACTTTTTTTTAAATGTTTATTTATTCACCCCCACCCCCACACCAACCTCCCCCAGATTGACGGATCCTAAAATGGGTTCCAGGTGATGTGCTGGGAAGTAAATGCGACTGGCCCGATGTTGACTAGCATCATATAACCATTGTACCAATGTATGAGAAGAGTTCTTTGCTTATACTTTTATATACCATTATAGTTTATATATTTTGCATTCATCCCAGTTAATTTTTAGTTTATTGTCATTGTTAAAATCATTCTCCAAATATCTCCATGTTCCATAAAGCAGTACCAGTTTCTTAACTCATAAAACAAAGAATTCTGCTGTAGATAAAATATAAAGTCTGTGCTCATAGACATGATGTCAGAATAAGAAAAGAATGGAAGTTGGTATAAGTATAAGCATGAGAAGTTGAGGTTTGAAAATGATAAAAAGCAGTAAAGGCAATTTGATCGTGGAGAACAAATAGATTACCAGGAAGCCATGATAAAGGAAGGTCAACTGAGAATTACTAGAACACTAAAACATGTTCTGACGACTGACATATTTAAAAATCACCTTGTTATGTACTACATTTTCAAGTTCTGTTTTATGACAGTTATATGTGTTTGGGTATTTCTTATAAAAGATTGGAAATGAAAAGAGTAAATAAAGTAGAGGACCATTTTCCTTGCCTTCAGGCGTATTGGGTATATAGGGCTAGACCTATATTTAATAGACCAGACGGCACTTGGTGGGTGATGTGGTCAGCATCACGCTGGTCACCTTTACTTCCCAGGACTGTATCTGGTACCCACCCAAGGCTGGATCAACCTGGGAGCCAAGGTCATTTTTGAAAAAAAGTCCGGCCCCTATCAGGACCCAAACCCACTACCTTCCGATCTGCAGGCAAGTGTTTAGCCACTTTACCATGTCAGCGGCAAATGAAAAAAAGTGCTGTAAGAATAAAAAGAGATGAGAGTTGACTGTCAGTCAGTCAGGTTGAAGGCTCTTACCTTTAAAAGGTAGACAACAATAAAAGTGGAAGGACAACATTAAAAGATGGAAAAACTGAAGTCTTAGAG